GAGCAGGGTCTGCAGAGGCACGAGACCAGGCCCAGGGGCTCCGTGAGCATTTGTGGGATGGCTGTGAATGTTTCTGCTGGGAGGTGGTCACAGCTGCCATCCTGGGCCTGCCTGGAAGGCTGCTTTTCAAGAAGCAAGCTGAAACTTGTTGCAAAGAGCCCATACTCTTTGGTATGTCCAACCAACTCCACCCCACGTTGCTAGACCACCAGCTCCTCATGGCTGCCTTCGAGGAACTTGGGGCCTGTGGCCATGCCAGGCCTGCCGGCTCTGTGGGTACACCAGCACTTGCAAACTTTGGCCACACACATCACCTGCACTGGACACCCTCAAAATAAAAAGCTCATGCTTCAAAGGACCCCACGTATATGATGAGGGTCTTGTGTGCAAAATGCATAAAGAACTCTTACAACTATTAACAAAAAGACAACCCAACTAAAAAATGGCAGATCTGAAGAGGCATTTCTCTGAAGAAGATACACAAATGGCCAAGAAGGACATGAAAAGTTACTCAACATTATTAGTGATTAGAAAAATGCAGGTCAAAACCACAAGGAGACACCACTTCACGCCCGCAGGGGGCCCAGAATCAAACAGGTGCGGGCCAGGGATGTAAGTGGGGCAGCCCCTGTGGAAAACAGTCTGGCAGCCCCTCAAACAGTTAAGTTCAGTTATTACCAGATTCCAGCAATTCCAGTCCTAGGTATAGACCCAAAAGAAATGTAAACACATGTCGACCCAAAAACCTGTACGTGACTGTTCATTGCAGCGTTATTCATAACAGCCCCGGAGTGGAGATAACCCCAGCGCCCATTAACTGGTGGAAGTATAAATAACATATGGCCTATCCACACCATGCAATATCACCTGGCAGTAAAAAGGAGTGGAGCGCGGAACACCTGCCACAACGTGGATGAACCCAGAGTACGTGATGCTCAGTGAAAGAGGCGAGTTACAAAGAACATATATCATAGCATATTTATATGAAATTCCAGAGTGGGTAAATCCATAGAGACAGAAGATGGCTTGGTGGTGGTCCAGGCCTAGAGGGTGGTCCAGGGGGAATTGGGGAGTGATGGCAACATTGGACAGGGCCCTTTCTGGAGACCCCAAAAGGCTTTCACATGGGTGGTGGTGATGCACGTGCACTTCTGTGAATACAGTAAAAGCTACTGAGTCGTAGGCTTTAAGTGGGTGAACTGTATGATACGTGAATTACATCCTGATGAAGCTGTTAGAGATTTTTCTTTTCTTTCTTTTTTTTTTAAGATTTTTTATTTATTTATTTGAGAGAGAGAGAATGAGAGAGAGAGCACATGAGAGGGGGGAGGGTCAGAGGGAGAAGCAGACTCCCTGCCGAGCAGGGAGCCCGATGCGGGACTCGATCCAGGGACTCCAGGATCATGACCTGAGCCGAAGGCAGTCGCTTAACCAACTGAGCCACCCAGGCGCCCGAGATTTTTCTTACTTTAACCCTAAAGCAAGAATGTCCAGAAACTTGCGGACTAATGTGCTAGGCATATGTTTTCCAGTGACTTTTAAAAATATCTAACCACTAAACTTCAAGGAGTCACCCCCACTGCACACAAATCGCACTCAGCAGGTCCCCCAGGCTTCAACCCCTCATCTCACTGGCCATTCCTCTTCTAGAACCTCTGAACTTCTATCCTTCAAGATCTTGGAGGAAAAGTACTACCATCTAACTAATTCAGATTCTTCTACTGACAACTTACAAAGCTATTAGGAGGTCATAGAAAAAAGTTTTTCTTGAACTATTAATCATGGATTTTAATTTTTTAGTGCTATGGTCACAAACCACAGCTGCTTTCATATTCAGACCACAGGCACCGGGGGATGGGAATGGCGCGTGCACCCTCCTCATGTCCTGGGCCTGGGCCCCGGGGTCCTCAGGGGAGTGGAAGCTGCTGGCCACAGGACCCCAATCAATACCAGACTCAGGACGTGGTCAGCAGAGCGTGCCAAGGAACGCCTGGATCCAGTCCAGCAGAAGCTGCAAGAGGGACAACAGGGACAGCCTGTAAACCCCCAAGCTGTGTCCACCCTGCCCGGTGGGGGTCGGCTGCCCAGGAACATGCTGCACGCTGGAGCCTGGCTGACCTCAGGACACTGACCACAGCCCTGGCTCTGGCAGTCTAGCTGGCAGGCCACGAGCATGTGCTTGCCCTTTCTGGCCTCAGTCTCCCCAGCTGCCTAGAGATTCTCAGCCCTGGAGAGGCAGGACCAGGCATTCGTCCTGCTATAAAGGGGCTGGGGACGGAGAGTTAGGAGAGAAGTGAGCCTTCCAGGGACCCAGGAGCCTGGCTGTCCCACCGTGCCAGATCTGTACACTCAGCTGCTCCCATGACCACGGTGGTGCCCCCACCGTGGCTGCTGAAGCCGGCCCGGCCGGGGAGGTGGCTGGTGGGGGGAGGCTGGGTAGAGGTGAAGGGGGAGAGGCCGGGGCAGTGGGGGGGGAGGGGGAAGCAGGGCACCCTGGACTTTGGGCTCAAACTTGGGCAACCTTCGCTACTTCTCTGAGCCCTGGCTTCCTCATCTTTATGTGGCAGAACAGCAGCAAGAGTGATAATGTTTCCCGTAACCCCCGGAGGCGTTTTGAGGACGGAACAGCAGCTGTGTGAACGCTGGGCACAGAGCCCGGTCCTGAAAGGCACACGGCAGCCTCTCAGGCAACGTTACTAGTGCTGCTGCTCTTACAGCCCACACTGGGCATCCCCTCCGCAGGTGTTCACACAGGTAATCCCACGGAGGGACGGGAAGAGCACCCTTGTGGCATCGAGGGACTGGAAGTAGCCCTTCTGCCTCAGCTCCCCTGTGAGAGGCTGCAACCTCTCAACTGTCTGCCCTCAACGGAGGGGCCAAAACCACGAAGAAGCCCAAGGAGGCTGGGAAGTTCCACGAGGAGCCCATGCCCATCCCAGGCCTCATTTCCTTCCAGAATGTTCACGCCCCCAGGCTGCATACCCTCCAGCTGTGTGGACCCCTCCCCAGTCATCCCTCCTGAGCTGGGGGCTGCATGAACCACACTGGTTGTCCACACTCCTGCACCCAGCCATCTTCCTGAGACAGGCAAGCCCACCGCAGCCCCCTTTTCTATACCGATTCTCCTGAAGGAGATGTGAACTTCCCTTTCTGCACAGGGAAGGAGGTGTCTGTGCTCGAGGACCCCTGACAGCAACAGGGGTGGCTTCACCACGCCTCGGCGGGGGGCATTTGCACCAGATTCCTACAGCCCCAGGCTTTCACCCTGTCCTGGTGTCCTTCATCTTGCCTGTGTGAGTAACATTCTCAGCCCCACCTGCTCCGGGCAGCCCCAGATCAGACGGGGCAAGTGGATCAAACCCCTGACGGGACATCTGTCCCGAGGAAAGGGAGCAAGAGGCCCAGAAATACCCTGAACACAAAATCATACCTTCGGTCACAAGTTACAAACTAGCAGCAGTATTCTGTTTGGCCTCCAAGGTATTTGGAATGCTTCTCAATTAGTTACCATCATTTTTGAAGTTTGAAAATTAAGTAGGAAAAGATAGTCGTATTTCTAGCTTATCCTGAAAACTGGATATCAGGACAGATGGCCAAGATCTGGCGAACACAAGGCAGCTGCCCCTTCCGGTGGAGCCCATGCCTGGCAGCTTGCAACCCGCCTGCCCCCAACCACCAGCATCAGGCCCACACAACTTGCACAGTCCTTGTGAGCACTTGGGGGTGCAACCCACACTTTAAATGCAATGAACTCTGTCTTGCCAGTGCACAAATGGCCTTGTGGGGGCTAACAGGAGATGGAGGAGCAACCTTGGACCAAATGGGTTACCCAAGCCCCAGCATCATCAGAGTGGACATCAAAAACATGGATGCTCCCCGTGAATTTTCCTGGGTCATCCTGGCTTTCAAATATCCCTTCTCCATCATCCCACAAATTTTCATATGCCAATGAATGCCTTAATATTTATTCTGGTAGCATGGTTTCTATTTTACGCAACAGGAAACTACAGTGGGTGGGGGTGGTCAATCCAGTCCACTGCTAGTTTTATAAATAAAGCTTTACTGACAGACTGCCATGCCTGTTCACTTAAATTTTGTTGGGCTGCTTTTGGGCTAGGACAGCAGACCTGAGTAGCTAAGACACAGACCACATGGCCTACAAAACTTAAAGTACCTATCAGCTGGCCCTTTACAGAAAAAGTCTGCTGATGCCTGAGTCGTTCAGGAGAGGCAAAAGTCACCTCCTTTAGGAGCATTCTTTGGTGTCCATATCTGGGTTCCTTGTTTAAAACACTTATGCTCGCTGGGGCGCCTGGGTGGCTCAGTCGTTGAGCGTCTGCCTTCGGCTCAGGTCATGATCCC